CCTTCCCCGCGCTTTTTCCCTTCTCTCGCCTCCTCTCTGTGAGTCTGGAGCAGCAGGGACAAACAGGGAGCCCTCTCGCCTCCTTTATTGTCTATAATATAGTATATATAGAGGTATATATGTATAGAGGATATGTCCTAAAATACCTGGACGACCAGATGGACGACCAGGCTCGACCAGCCCGATTAATCTAGCTGGTCGACGATTAATCACGATTAATCGTCTGGTCGGTCTGGTCGACTAGGTTCGACCAGCCGACCTGAAAACACTGGAAGGACCTGTGGACGAATGGAAGATGGATAGGGATAGGTCAGAGAGGATTCTGGGTTCTGGAGCGGGTTTTAGTGGCAAGGTGATAGATCAGATCCAACAGACACCCATATCGGAGGACCGTTTGGACGGTATGAGGTGGAGACTTACATCTTCAAGTGCATTCTATACGACCTCGGCTTGGGGAAAAGTTCGGGGGGACCAGCCTAACCTTCTCTTCGGGCCATCTGGGCCGACCTTCTTACCCCGACCATCTCGTTTTCCTATGGCGCCTTCTCTTGCGCCGCCTACCGAATGATACTGTGATGCAGGTGAGGGGGTTCTCCTTCCCCTCACGTTGCTTGTTCTGCTACGACCGACGATTTTCAAACCGAGAAATTTACCCATTTGTTTATTGAGAACGAGACTGTGAGGAGAGTGTGAGAGCATTACTCCAATTACCCATTTGAATGTGATGCTTCAGGCGAAGGCGTGGGAGCAGTCCTAATGCAAGAACATCGGCCTATGGTATATTATAGTAGAGAACTCTCAGGGAGAGTGTTGGCCAAATCGTCATATGAAAAAGAGTTGATGGCATTGGTTTTGGTAATTCAACATTGGCAGCCTTATTTACTCGGCAGAAGATTTGAAATTCGCACTGGCCATCGGAGGCTAAAGTACATTTTGCTCCAATGAATCACAACTCTTTCTCATCAAAATTGGTTGGCAAAACTCATGGGTTGTGATTTTGAGATCACCTACAAACCGGGTGTAACAAACCAAGCAGCAGATGAGTTATCCAGACAATTTGAGGACAATGATTTGGCAACCATTTATATTCTCACATGGATTGACATGGATAAACTTGATTCAACAGTCTTGGAGGATGCGGAGTTACGGGCAATCATCGACCAACTTCGAATGAATCCAAATGGCCAGCCACCATATCAGCTTCATGGATGATTATTTACAAAGGTCGAATAATCATTCCTGCTACTTCACCATGGGTACAACTCTTAGATGAGTTTCATTCCACCCCAACGGGAGGCTACTCAGGTGCGTACCGTACATATCGACGATTGGCAGCTAGCATTTATTGGCGCGGCATAATGAAACAAGTATAAAAATGTCCTATTTTGCCAAAGGGATAAGTATGAAACGTTATCACCATCTGGATTGCTTAACCCACTCCCTATACTTAATAACATTTGGGAAGATATAGCAATGGACTTCATCACGGGTCTACCGCGATCTAATGAGTTTGATTGCATCTGTGTAATTGTCGATCGACTTAGCAAATATACACATTTCATTGGTCTTCGACATCCTTTCACCGCTCGAACCTTAGCCGAAGTGTTTGCTAAAGAAATTGTGCGTCTACACAGAGTCCCACGATCCATCGTTATTGAGACCCAATTTTCGTGAGCAATTCCTGGATGGATTTTACAGTAAAATGGGCACCAAACTTTGCATGAGCACAACCTACCACCCGCAAGCTGGATAGTCTGAAGTAACAAATCGTTGCGTTGAGCAATACTGAGATGTTTCGCTTCAGAACAACCCAAGCAATGGGGTCGTTGGTTGCATAGGGCAGAATATTGGTTTAATAGCAGCTTCCATTCAGCGGCAGGCCGAACGCCATTTGAGTATGTGTATGGCAAACCAGCACCCACCTGGGGAAATTCAAGGTTGCAGCCGTTGCAGAGGAGCATAGTGATAGGGCAAAATTGATCAGGCAGTTGCACTATAACCTCACTAAAATGCAACGACGAATGATTAATAGCACCAACCGCAAGAGACGGTCTTTAGAATTTGATGAGGAAGATCATGTTCTTTTGAAACTTCGGCCCCATCGCCAAACCTATATGGCGAATCGAGTTAATCAGAAGCTGGCTACAAGGTATTATCGCATTCTTAAAAAATTAAGTCACATGGTTTACACGTTAGAATTACCCGTTGGAGCACGTATACACCCAATTTTCCACATCTCCCAGCTTAAGAAACTTAATGGGCATCATGATGTCACCGAGGATATACCTAAAGTTTTGGAGGTAGAAGAAACAAGTTACGCCCCACAAGACATTCTAGATGCTCGAAAGCAGCTCGGCAAGGAGAAGCTCTTGGTTCAATGGGAAGGTCGGTCTGCAGAGGAAGCAACTTGGTTGATCTTTCGGATTTTACGGGGCAATTTCCAATCTACAGCCTTGTGGACAAGGCTAATCCACAAGGCTAATTCTTTAGAGGGTGCAACGATAGAAAATGGGCATGTCATACGCAGAAATCATGGATTGTTTATAGGCGCAGGCCAAATCCAAGGAATCAATCAGATTTAAGCTGAAAGGGGCTCATTTCATGGATCTAAATAGCACCTATCCTGGAAGGGAATCTTACCTATTATATAGTAGTATAGCTAATTATAAATAAAGCCTCTTTAGATGAGGAAGACATCAAAATTCATTATTCCTATTAGTTCCTGGCAGGGAGTTTGTTCCTGTTGGAGAAAAGTTCTCTTTTCCTATTGATCATCTTGCAAAATATACATTTACTTGATAATAAAGTTATTCCCTTTTGTTTCTTGGTTCTTTTCTCTAACACTATCTCATGAGTTCACATACATAATTAACTTTAAAATCAATTATTATTTGTCCATATAATATATATTAATTCATCAGATTCATTAAATCTAGTACTTAAGTTCAAGAATCATGCACACATCCTGCATTACAGTAACCTAAATAATTCATAAATATACATAATAGAGGAGTTTAAAAGGACACAAGTCATCTACATCATGGAATATTTCTACAGGTAAAGAGGTTTATTATATAATTAGTCCTAGTTAGCATGTAGGCAGCTACTGCAAAAATATAATGTGCAAATAGATATTAAAGATTTTTTTTTTTCCATTTTTTTTAGCAATAAATGATAAAACTGGAAATTCCTGGAAAAATAAAATTGAGCGAGAAAACCTCCTCTGCCATTTATTTTCAGAAATCCCTGCACAAAATTAAAATAAAAGAAGGAAAGAATATTTCACTGTTCGGAAGGTCTCTCTTCATCAATTTCGTGTCAAGAATTCTTTTAGCAAGAAAAGACTACGTAGATGATCAAGGTAACAGAAAATAAAGCAAGGAAATGAAGAAGATAGAAAAAAAAAGGAAGCCCTATTATTTAGTTAAGCATTCCAAACATATTATACTGTCTATCGAAAATGGATGTTTATGCGAAACGATTAGGTATATTAAGAATTCTGGAACTGTTTCTCATACAAAGTCTAAAGATTTTTCTGTAATTTAATGCTGTTGTGGAGAATTTCACCTTACATAGTTATAAATAGGGTGGGAACTCTCCATTTCATCTGTAATTACAATCAGAATTGGTACCTGCAACAAACAGCAAATTTGGAGATGAAAAATAAGTTATTATGTCCCAATGCAAATCAACAAATAAGAGCTAAGAAACGAACGGAACTTAACCTCAACCTGCTTCTTTATGCTTCCACCAAGTTCAGTGTCCTGTCGAGCTTAAATGAATTATCTGAGGCAGCCTGGTGAAAATAAAAATCTCAATAAAGAATTATATACGCAATCCGCATGGATATTGGAGAAGATGAAGTTCAAAAGTATATCCAAAACAACGAACAATTTACATATGCTATCCGTGCAGCAGGGATATATAAATTCCAATCCACGCTCAAGTTACTCATACAGAACTTCTTTGCTTTTTTTAAGGATACAATTTTATCACTTGCATCCATAATACATACTACCCTTCTCATAAAAATTATAATACAAGCCAACAGTAAGAGAATCTTATTCTTCACGGCTTAGTACTTGCCTAACAAAATCGAGGGAAGCTTAATGAAATATGAAAGTGATACAGTAATGAGTTGGTTGCCCAGAATGTACCCAAGTCACGAATATCCATACCCGAATAGAAATAACGTGGTTTCTTCTGGACTCACTATTCTTTCCACTGGATCCGTACACCCAATCAGTTAATGGAAATTGCAAAATCTACCCTGATATTTAGCCAATTTACTAAAAGAACCCAGTTATACCTTGGGATGCATGTCCCTTCAAGTGTGAAACACTCACATCCTTGTAAATTTATTTACTAGATAAATACACTTCTATTGACTTTGAGGATGTGACGTGTAAAAATAATGAAATACAAAAATAAATAAAATAAGAAATTGTCAAGGGGGTAAGTGCAGTTCTGAAAGATAACTGGGTATTTGTGTAAATTGGCTAATGCTTGGGGCAGTATTTTGCAATAAACCATTAGTTAAGTCACTCAAAAGATGTATCATTTTCATCCCAAATCTCTTGCATCAATAATAACAAAACCGAGTAAACATCCTTCCCGCCAGAGTGAATCATGTCATTCGCATCAAAAGAAATCACACGGTCTTTTATACTGATCCAACTGCAATCAACAACTTCCTCACTCATCATTCTCTTCATCTCCCTTTTCACTCGAACGAGGCTTTCCCATTTACCGCTCTTCTCATAAGCCTTAGCCAAAATCAAGAAAGGAAAAGGTGAAAGAGGATCTAACTCCATCAATCTTTTTGCAGCCTTTTCAATCATCTTCAAATCCTCACAAACACGAAGCAAGTATTCCCATACAAAAGCATGGGTTTCGCATTTGTGCAACTGCAACAAATCTACTGCTTCACTAATTTGACCGGCACGAATCAAGATTTCCACGATAGGGGCATAATGTTCATCCTCTGGTTCGACTCCGTGCCGCATTCCCATAGAAGAAAATATTTTCATGCCTTCCTCAAGAAACCCACCATAATTACAAGATAAAAGAACCCCGTAAAATGTTTTCTGGTCGGGACGTAAACCACTTTGAAGTAGTTTCTGAAAATAGCAAATTGCTTCAAAGGGCTTGCCATTGTGAGCCAATACCAGTATTATAGTATTCCACGCTATCAAGTCTCTGAAAACCATATTTTCAAACACCTTCAATGCACTGTCAATTGAACCATATTTACCATACATAATTACAAGAGAACTCGCAACAATAGAATCTGATTGAAACCCTGTTTTAACCACCAAAGAATGAATTTGACTGCCCTGCTCGACCGGAACAAAAAAGGAGGCCGAGTGAAGAACACAGCTGAACGTAAATTCAGTTGGCCTAATATTTTCCTTGAAAGTATCGATAAAAAGGTGCATGGCATGCTCGACCAAGCCATGGCTTTCAAAACAAGCGACCATTGAATTGCAAATAGCTGAATCGAGTACACACGATTCTTTAAACAAACATGCTGCACTTTCTACTCTTTTGCAGTTTGAAAAAAGATCAATAACCGCACTGGAAACAATCGAATTCGAAAGAAATCCTCGTTTTACACAATAACACAAAACCTGTTCACCCTTTCCCAAGTTCCGAAGGTTAGAACAAGCAGTAAGTACAGTGGACACTGTAAACTCATCCACTTGGTAACCACTATTAATCATCAGCCAGAACTTTTGCAAGGCCAACTGTTCGTGACCCGATTTACAGCAACCACATATCATTGAGTTCCAAGAAACTACATCCACTTTCTCCATGCTCAAAAACACGGCAAGAGCATAATCGACGAGGCCAAGCTTCCCATACACATCAATCAGGGAATTCCCGACCACCAAATTGGAAAAATACCCGAAATGCCTCACGATATAACCATGCATTTCCTTAGCATGATTACCACATTTCACACAACACAACACCACCGAAAATGTGAACTCGCTAGGCTCAACAGAAAATTCACGCATCTCCAAAAAGACCCCCCACGCAGTATCAAGAAACCCACAAGCAACGTACGCGGATATAATCGTATTAAAGCTCACGGTATCCCTTTGAGGCATTTCGTCGAACACCCGATGCGCAGTCTCGAGATCAAAATATTTCACAAAAATTTTCAAGTATAAATTCCAAGAGAATATATTTTTACTAGGAATGTCGTTAAAAATCTTCAGGGCATCGTTAACGGCGCCGGACTTCACGCAGACATCGATGCAGCGGTTGCCAAGAAATACATTCGAAGTCAAACCGAGTTTTATGAGCTGGGCATGAATTAGCTTCAGAGAATTAGAGGGATTCGTGAGAGAAAAACATTGGTCGATGAGTGAAGAGAAAGATGAAACTGTGTGGAGAAATTTGGTGGCTTTGTGGATACGTAACATGCAAAGTGAAGACGAACGGCAAAAGCAATTGGAAGCAAATTATACAACGTTTGCCATTAGCAAAAAAAATTTAAATTGTCGGAGTATTTGTATGGATAATTTAGTAGGCCTAGCGGGAAATGGGCTGGGCTGGGCTGATTATCAAAATTGGTGAAAGTATTTAGTCCAATTTAATGGATAGTTGATACATGACTATTAGATACGGTTTTGCTATGAAGCCCACAGTTGGCTCCATAGTGGAGTCAACTTTCTATATACAATAAGTAAACCTACCATATTTTCTGAATACTTAAATAACATTAATATAATTTTATTAATATTTTATGTCTATTTGTTGTATATAGAAGGTTGACTCCACTATGGAGTCAATTGTTGGCTTCATAGCAAAACCGATATTTGATAATATAAGATAATTGATTAATTTAACAATTATTAAAATGTGGAAAAGTATTTAATATGTAAAAATAATAAATTTTACAGTCTTCTAGCAATAGGTATCTCGTGCTATGCATTGAGACACATTATTGAGGAAACGTTTATAATTATATGAACATATAATTCAAAAATACATTGTATCATATTGAAACAATAAATTGTGTGTATTGAATTTGTAAACACGAAAAATCTTTTACAGAGACGTCTTGACCAAGAAAGAGATTTATGAGGCTATGTACGCATCGCTCTTAACATACGATTGCAATTCTAAGATCATGATGAAGATGGTGTATCTTGATACCTTGGTTTGCTCCGAACCTCCCAACCGCCTCCATTCTCCGCGATAGATGCTTCGAAAGCCACACTAACGCTTGATTTCTAAGCGATAGGTTGCTAATACACGCGACGACACCTTAGTACTTCGCGATAGTTGTGATGAAACTCGGATGTTAGTCCTATTTCTATCATTTTTTGTATGTGGAACTCTCAAGCATTGAAGAAAGTTGGGAAGTTGGATCCGACCAAGGTACTTAAGGTTATGCGGATCCTTAAAAGAGGGGTGTATGAGCTCAATGCCTAATAGGGAAAGGCGTTGTCCCGGGCTTGGATTGTGATTCACTTGAAAAAATTTTATGTCTAAAGAAAAAAAGTTGTGCCGTTTTTTTCGTATTTTTTTTCTTTTCAAACTAATCTGATATATGAAAGATTGTAAGGGAGTGCTTGGATATGCGTTAGGTTTTGATTGGATTTACTTGGATATGAGTTAGGTTTTGATTAACTATTTTGGTTTTGATTGGATTTGTTGGATATCCAGAGTTAGTTTTGAAAAAGTTAGTTGGGTTAGACTTGCGTAGGATTTTGAGTTTGTACTAAAATATTGTTTAAATTAAAATGATTAAAGGTTATTGGATGTAAAAGTATACAAGCATCTTTAACAATAAACCTCTATAAACTTCCTTTTATACATCTCAAGGCCTCGGGCCCATTCTACCGACGGTACCCAATCATTGAGCTTCCGGCAACCCGACCACTAGGAAGTCCTCGATCCTGACTTCGGCTAATCCGGCCTTGCCACCCACCGGCCCCCGTTCATTTTGGGATGCAGTTTTCTGCACTCCCGCTGGCAAGTCAGGCCAGCAAAGACTATCTCTTGAGTCTTTCCAGAGCAAGCATCGGTGGAAGGTCACACGTTCCAAGGTGGGGCGATTCATGATTAGTTTCCTCGAGCCCGTGTTTCTTCCCTTGTCGGACCGTTCGATAGTGCACTTATTTTAAAGTTTTCTTTCTCTGTCCCCGCCCTCCGAGATTTTTCTATTGGATTAGGAAAATCGGGTTTTAAGAGTAGACTGATACCTAAGTATCTTAACTTTAACCATTACATTGTATACTTTGAGTTGAAAGAGGACTATAATAGGGTTTGGACGTACTTGAAAGTCTGTGGGTGTTCTGGTAGGGTGTTTAAGGATACCCCTAACTTCTCTATATCGTCAGTCGTCCATTGTCCATGTATGGTGTTGTGATATAGCCCTACTATCATGGTCCGGTTCAGATGTTGGTTACTCGACCGAACAAATATAAATGACGACATCAACAAGTTGACTTCTCCCAAGTCGATTGGTTTTCTTAACTATTCGAGGATCACCGACGATCCAAGGACGATTCTGGGACGACTCTCTTATGTCGATTGAGATGATCCTCATAAGTCGACTAAGACGAGCGGACATAATACAATCTCCGGACACGCAAATGACCAAAGTCGACTCGGCAATACCTGAGGTCGACTTATAGTGGCTCGAGGCACTGAGACCTCCGACAACCTCTATATATACTTCAACATATCATAAGGAGTTCTCTCAACAAGAGGGAATCTACATAAGATAAGAAGAAATCTGGATGCGGACTAAGAGGTAACGGAATGCGAACCGACCAGGGCATTTTGGACACTTCGCGCAAGTCGGCCATGGCATTTTGGGCACTTCAAGTAAGTGTTTCTACCCCTATATAAAGGAGCTGAGGTAACTACAAACCCTAACTCTCTCATTCTGTACTCATTTCCCAACTGCTGCTCCCACTGAGCAGAGCTCATCTTCTTCACTCTTACTGACTTGAGCGTCGGAGGCTCTTCACCGGAAACACCTCTGGTGTTGAGTTCCTGCAGGTGTTCGCAGCGGTTCAAGGAAGATTTGGAGACGATTCGAGCAGATCGGAACTCATTTCTACTGGTTCACTCCATCTCTAGGAGGAGACCCATCAAATTGGCGCCGTCTGTGGGAAGCTCTTGAAGGAAGTAAGAGCTTTGCACCTAGTTCCGATCTGTTTGACATGGCGGAGAAGGATGGATTGTCGAGAAACTTGAGCGAGGAATTCAGGGGAGTATGGACAGACAAATGGCCTCCGCCGATTCCCAGCCCTAGACCACCGCTCCAAGTGCTCGGTTTCCCACCGTTTGGAGGACACACGCGTCAGGAGTGCACGTTGAGGAGGAAACATCCATCACCCCACCTGGGGTAAAGATTCCAGTGCTAACACAAGGAGGATCTAGCCAGACGAAGGGCGCAAACACGGGAGTCGACGGGCAGGAGTCGACTGAGACATCTTCGAGCTTGGGAAGGCAACCTGGAATGTTGGAACAAGGGGCGATGCCACCACCCCAGGTCGAGGAGCCGACATTAACCATGACGAGGAGCGAGATGCAGAAGATGATTGCAGAGGCAGTGGCAGCCCAACTTAAGCAGACGCAATTCAATCAACCTAGGGTCGAGCAGCCTAGTGTCGAACAACCTCAAATTGAGCAGCCACCCCTTGAGCGTTAGCAGCAAGCACAATCCCATGAAAGGCAGAGCAGGAGGGCAGAGGAGGAAGGTTCCTCTGTCAGAACTATCAATCCGCAGGCAAGAAACGATACTCTAGAACAACTGATGGCTCAGGTGCGAGACTTGTAGGCCCGAGTCGAGGGGAGAAAGACTGGAAGTTCAAGAGGGCACCCGTTCTCGCAGCATATATTGGATGCCGATTTGCCACAAGGGTTTAGGGAGCTGAACATTTGGTATGATGGGTCGACTGATCCTTCTCGACATCTGCAGAGTTTTGAGAATATGGCGGTTCTACATCGTTACAACGATCCTGTCCAATGTCGAGCATTCCTGACGACCTTGCGAGGACTTGCGCAAGATTGGTTCCATCAACTGCCTCCGGGGGTCGTCAGGGACTTTGACGGATTTAGCTCGAGTTTTTTGAACCAATTTGCAAGTGTGAAAGCCCAGGAGAAGTCTTACCTTACCTTGATAGGTATGCAACAGAAAGAAGGAGAATCACTGCGATATTATGAGGCGAGATACACGCGGGCGTGTGTCGATGTGCCTTCGGCCACAGAGGAGATCAAGTCGGGTGGACTCACCAATTACTCCCAGGGTTGTGCAGAAATTCCCTAGCAAAGAGACCTGTGAGGACTTTTGATGAGGTCTTGGGGAGGTGCGCGAAATACATGAATGTCGAGGAAGCAGAAGCCGACTTCTTGCAAGCATCAAAGGCGAAAACCGAACCCCGGGACGAGAAAAAAGACAAGAAAGTGAACCCGTCAGAAGAAAGGAGGGGATCCCCGAGAGAGGACAGAGAGGGGCGACCTAGGGGATGGAGGTCGACTCAATACACCCCTTTGTCAGCCACTCAAGCACGAATTTTGGAGGTGATGGAGAAGGAAATTCATGACAATGTCATCAAATGGCCCAAGACGAGGAAGGATGGACCAACGAAACCTAAGAGTAATTTATATTGTCAATTTCACAAAGATTACGAGCATAATACTGACGACTGTAGACATCTTAAAGACGAGATTGAAAGGTTGATCAAAGCAGGACATTTGAAGGAATTCATATACAAAGACCGAGAGAAGTCGAGCAGGAGGAGAGAGAGAAGCAGGAGCCCTCGCAAGAGGGCGAGAACACATGAGAAGAAGGAGGAGCTGCCCCAGAAGAGGAAAGTCATACACATGATATTTGGTGGATCGACTGATGGGGACTCGAATCGGGCAAGATGCTCGAGGACGCTATGGAAAAGTCGAGGTGCAGCAAGTCGACGAAAATGGTCCGGTGATGAATTTCGGGCCACCAGATGTGGGAGAAGTCGAGAGACCTCACAATGATGCCTTAATGATAACTGCCCAAGTATCAGGATATGAGGTGCAGAGAGTATTTGTCGACACGGGGAGCTCAGTGAATGTGATCTTTTATGATTGTCTTAAGAGGATGGAGCTCGACATACAACTCACACCCCTCCATACTTCGCTATTTAGTTTCAATGGATCGGAGGTCACGCCCCTATGAGAGACTATGCTTGCTGTCGTCCTAGGGGAAGGCGACTTGCGAAAGGTGAAAATGGTGAGATTCGTAGTAGTCAACGTCGAGTCGGCCTACAACGTGATCCTGGAGAGGCCGGCACTTAATGCATTTCAGGGTGTGGTATCGACTTGCCACATGAAGCTGAAATTCCCAGTAGGAGATCAAGTTGGGGAAGCTCGAGGCAATCAAAAGCTGTCGAAGACTTGTTATCACATTGTCGTGAAAACCAACCAGCGAGCCGAAATCAAAGAAGGGAAGAAACCGATGTCGAATGAAAAAAGGCCAAGGAGTAGCGATCTCGAGCCACATAGGGAGTTAATGGAATTACAGATTGGAAAAGTGATGAAACAGACCACTAAGGTAGGGAAAGATCTGGAGGACGAGTTGCGAGATCAACTTATCGCATTATTAAAGGAGTTCAGGGACATATTCGTCTTTACCCCTGAGGAGTTAACGGGGATCGACCACAACATTATGGAACATAAACTCAACGTCGACCCTCTCAGAAAGCCGGTCAAACAGTGACTTAGACACCATGGTGCAGAAATTGACAAAGCCATTGAAGTCGATGTGGATAAGTTGCTGCGAGCAGGACATGTCAAAGAAATCCAATTCCCCGAATGGATATCCAACATTGTGATGGTGAGGGAGACACTAAACAAATGGCGCATGTGCATCGACTTTTGTGATTTAAACTTGGTGTGCCGCAAAGATCATTATCCCTTACCAAGAATTGATCAGCTATTCGACTCCACGGTTGGTTGCGAATTGCTAAGTATGATGGATGCATCTCAGGGGTACCATCAGATTCCCTTGGCCCCCGAGGACCAAAGTAAAGTGAGCTTTGTGACGAGCAATGGGATGTATTGTTACGTCGTCATGCCCTTTGGACTCAAGAACGCAGGAGCAACCTACCAACAATTGATGGATCGTATGTTTAAATCCCAGATTGGGCGAAATATGGAAGTATACGTTGACGACATTTTGGTGAAGAGTAAGTCTTCGACTTCACACCCAGACGATTTAAGGGAAACATTTAAAACCCTTAGAGCGTTTGGGATGAATCTGAACCCGAGCAAATGTGCCTTTAGAGTAAGGGCATGTCGATTTTTGGGATATATTGTCACAGAACGATGAATTGAAGTAAACAAAGACAAGGTGAAGGCCATACTCGATATGGCCCCACCAAGAAGTATAAGAGAGGTGCAGGTCCTGACGGGAAGGATTGCGGGACTGAGCAGATTCATTGCTCGAGCAGCCGAAAAAAGTTTTCCCTTTTTCAAATTTCTAAAAAAGAAGACGACTTTCCAATGGAGTGACGAGGCTCAGATGGCGTTTGAAAATCTAAAAGAGTTTTTGAGCGAACTGCCCCTCTTGACGAAGCCAGAGCGGGGTGACGAGTTGGTGTTATACATCTCGGTGGGAGTAGTCTCCTTGAGTTCAGTATTGTTGCGAGAGGAGGAAGGTGCCCATCAGCCAATTTATTATACCAGTCGAGTACTACAAGGTGCGAAGACGAGATATTCTGAAGTTGAGAAAGCTGCACTAATGTTGGTGGTGACTGCTAGAAAATTGAGGCCATATTTCTTGAACCATGTGATAGCGGTGAGAACAAACTTTCAACTCGGGGAAACCTTGGGGCGACCTACCGTCTCAGGTCGACTCGTAAAGTGGGCGGTTGAGTTGAGTGAATACTCCATCAAGTACGAGCCGAGACGAGCCATAAAGGCTCAAGCCTTAGCAGATTTTATCCAAGAAGGCACCAAGGGAGAAGAGAAGAAATAGATTATGCACGTCGACGGATCCTCAGCGGCCAAAGGATCTGGTTTGGGAGTCGTCCTCGTGTCCCCCGAGGGCGAACAACTCTAATTTTCTGTCAGGATGGGGTTTAAGGCCTCGAATAACGAAGCAGAATATGAGGCACTAATCAAAGGAATTCAACTCGCAATCGCTGGCGGAGCGACAAAAATCATGGCACATTCCGACTCACAACTTTTTGTCGGACAAGTATTGGGAAGTTGCGTGATTAATGAGGATCGAATGCTGAAATATGTTGAGGAAATCCAAAGCCTTGTGCAGGGCTTAGAGAAATTTGAGCTAACACAAGTCCCCCGAGAGGAAAACAAGCGAGCCGATTGGCTCACAAGAATTGCAAGTTCAAATGAAGGAAAAATGGGAAATTGCATTACCACTATACATTTAGAAGGAAGTGTTTTGGACGAAACGATGGAGATTGATGAGACAACGACTGGAGGAAATCAATTCGCGAACTATTACAAGGTCGAGTACCTGACGAAGACAAGCATGAGGCGGAAAAAGCTGCTCGATATTTGAGCAAATACTTTGAAGTCAAGGGGATTTTGTATAACAAGTCGATGGTCTGGCCTCACCTGTGATGTGTTTTCGAAGAGGAAGGAAGTTACGTCCTAAAAGAAATTCACGAAGGGTGTTGCGGAGCGCATGCAGGGTCTCGAGCCTTAGTCGGCAAAGCTCTGCGAGTAGGCTATTACTGGCCAAAAATTCAGAAGATGGCCGAACAATTAGTGCGAGGATGCGAGAGATGCCAACGTCATGGTCCAATTCCTCATATCCCGGCTGAAACCATGACGACGATCAACTGCCCGATCCCCTTTGCTCAATGGGGAATCGCCTTAGTTGGTCCATTTCCAATAGGAACAGGGCAAAGAAAATTTCTTGTAGTCGCAGTAGACTACTTCAGCAAGTGGGTTGAGGCAGAACGCTTGGCAAAGATCACCGAAGAAAAAATGATACAATTCATGTTCAATAACATCTACTGTCGATTTGGAATCCTGAAGGTATTGATTTCAGATAACGGAACCGATTCCATGGAAAAAGGATCCAGACATGGTGCCTCCGCATGGGAATAAAGCAAAGATTCACCTCGGTCGCACACCCCCAGACAAATGGCCAAGTCGAGGTGACAAACAGAACGATCCTTTAGGGGCTAAAGAAGAGGCTAGAGAAAGCATCGGGAGCCTGGGTTGATGAGATAACAACTGTCTTATGGGCTTATCGGACGACTCCGAGAAGTTCAACGGGTCAATCCACATTTCACATGGTCTACGGAATTGACGCACTCCTTCCCGTTGAAGTCGGCCTGAACTCCCATAGGTCGACATTTTATGAGAAAAAGGAAAACGAGGAAATGATCGAGGAAGCCCTTGATCTGATTGAAGAAGGGCGAGAAGAAACTTGGGTGCGATCAGTAGAATACAAGCAGAAAATGCGTGCCGCATTCGATAAGAAAGTCCAAACCAGACGGTTCCAAGTTGGAGATCTAGTCCTCAAGCGAGCAGACGCCCTCAAACATGTCGGAAAGCCCGAGGCTAATTGGGAAGGACCCTACACCGTTACAAAAGTGCTCGAGAGAGGTGCATATGATCTCGAAGATAGGGAAGGTCGACAGCTTTCGCGATCTTGGCACGTGATCCATCTCAAACGCTTTTATGCTTAAGGCAATGTTTTGAACTCTTTTGTACTGAACGATGTTCGACTCAAATTCAGTAATGCAATGAATTTAAAGTTTATGCCTCAATTGTGTCTTTTACATTTCCATGTCGATCTTATTATGATTACTTGAAAAATCGAATTTTTCAAAACGGCTATAAAGCCGACTAACTCCAACGACTACGAAGTCAACTAAGCAACTACGAAGTTGTATTCTCGAGTGGAATCTCAACTAAGATATGTGTTTTTTGTATTTTTTTCGTTATTTTTGTGTGTTTGGTGTGCTTTATTTTATAGTTTTTAGGCTCGTTTTAGTGTCGACCGGTCCATTTTATCATGTTTTGTGTATTTTTGTTATTGTATAGTGCTTTCGTATTTTTGCGCGTTTTCTCTTTTGTTTTGGTGTTGAATAGGTCCAGTGTGTCGAGAACGAGGAGACGAGCCGTCCGAGCCGACCGAGCCATCCAACCCGGAAAATCCGACCAAGCCATACCGGGACAAAGAGAATTCAATGATGAGAATTTTGGTTCAAATTTCGTGCGAATCGGAGGAGCGTGCGAGAAGTTAGAGCGAACCGAGCATCAAGAGGTCACTGGGACCATTCCTACGCACGCGCCCATGCCCGCGAGCTCGAGGAAAAAACCGCGACGTCGAGAGTGCCCTCTACTCCATGCCCGCGAGCTCGAGGACAAATCCGCGACGTCGAGAGTGCCCTCCACTCCATGCCCGCGACCTCGAGGCAAAATCCGCGACCTCGAGAGTGTGCCATGCTGCGCGCCCGCACGCCCGCACACCCGCGCGCCCCCGTGCTGCCATCGACCGCGAGCTCATGGATTTCCCGGCGAGCTCAAGAGTGCCGCGCCATCCATGCCCGTGCTGTTGTTGCTCGCGTGCTCGCGAAAATGGTGGAGAGCTTGGGAGTGTGTTCTTAAATGTGAGTATTTTTAGTGTGTTTTTGTGGTGTAGCTTTTTATAGACATTATGCTTTGTATTTTTGGACACAACCCTCATTTCCCAACTTTTAAGTTGGGAAATCCTCTCCATTTTCTCTCTTTTATTTTTTTTATGCTTTGGTTGGAGACTCATGACTTGATTTTTCCGGTGAAATTCCGGCAACTTTATTTTCGATCAAGATTCGAGTTTTATGCACTATTTTTGTCTACACATGCGATAGGAGGGTGAGTACCTTGCTTAGGGCTAATTACTTCGAGTTTGTTTTTAGATTTTGTGTTGATGCTCAATTCTAGGTTTTCACTCTATTTTCATTGCTTGCTTTGGTGTGTTAGGATTCGATATGTGCTTATCTAGAAAGATTT